GAAGCTGGAAGATGAGTGTTCAGAACTGAAGAAAGACATAGATGACCTTGAGCTGACCCTGGCCAAGGTTGAAAAGGAGAAGCATGCCACAGAGAACAAGGTGCTCCCCTTGGGTCTTTCTTGTTCAATGCAGTCATTGCAAACTAAACTTTATTTCTTATAATTGCTTGTGGCTTCTTCTTAGGTTAAAAACCTTACCGAGGAGCTGGCTGGGTTGGATGAAACCATCGCTAAGCTGACCAAGGAGAAGAAGGCCCTCCAAGAGGCCCACCAGCAGACCCTGGATGACCTGCAGGCAGAAGAAGACAAAGTCAATTCTTTAAGCAAAATCAAGAGCAAACTAGAACAGCAAGTGGATGATGTAAGTAAATAGCATTCACCTCAGAAATCCTAGACCTTCAGGGTGAAGGAGCTCCAGCGGGCCTCTTGCAAAGCATTGGGTCTCAAAAGGAAATGATGCCTTTTTCAGCTGGAAAGTTCTCTGGAGCAAGAAAAGAAGCTGCGGGTGGACCTGGAAAGGAACAAAAGAAAGCTGGAGGGAGACTTGAAGCTTGCCCAAGAGTCCATAATAGACCTGGAGAATGACAAGCAGCAGCTGGATGAAAGGCTCAAGAAGTATGCCCCAAACCACCAGCTTCCATCCTACAGCTTGCAAATGGATTCCATCCTCACATGCTCCGCATTTCCCTCCACAGGAAGGATTTTGAATACAGCCAACTGCAAAGCAAGGTGGAAGACGAGCAGACTCTAGGCCTCCAGTTTCAGAAGAAAATCAAAGAGTTACAGGTAGGACTACGGTTTCTCTTTCACATGTGGGTCACTCAATGAACTGGGTGCCATCGGCTCAGAGCCAGAGCACGTGTGCAGGACCACGGCTGCCTGCTTCCCAGGTTCCCCTTCTGCCAGGCTGAAGGGACAGTGATGGACATTATGCTCCAAACTTGTAATCCAATGCATCATTAAAGTGTTTGGGTCAGCATTCAGGTAAATGGAAACTACTCTGGGTAGGTCACTACAGGGGTAATGACAGTGTGGGTGCAGGAAAAATTCATTTGAGAAGAAATTAACATTCGTATTTCTTTGGGGAGAGACTAAGAATCAATTCATCATATGGGAGTGGAAACTAGCCCGTTCTGTTGTTACTGTTGACACATTTTAACCACACATGTTAACGGGGTTCAGTGTGATATTTTAATACATGTAAACAGGTACACTGATCAAATCCAGCCTCTTTTTACTCACAGTCCCCGCCCCCACTTTCCCAACCTCTAGTAATTACTATTCTACCTTTGGGTCATTTTTTTTAACTTCTAAACATGAAAACATGTGGTAGTTGTTCTTCTGTGCCTGGCTTGTTTCACTTAACATGATGTCCTCCAGTTCCATTTATTTTGCTGCAAATGACAGGACTTCATCATTTTTAATGGCTGAATATTCCATTGTGTATGTATACCACATTTTCTTTACTCCTGCATGCCTTGCTGGCCTCCTAGGTTGATTCTGTACTTTAACTGTTGTGAATGGAGACAGTGAGAGTCTCTCTTTTGGGAACTGGCTGTCCATGAGTGGTTCCCCGCGCTCTGCAGGCTCGCATTGAGGAGCTGGAAGAAGAGATTGAGGCAGAGAGAGCGACCCGTGCCAAGACGGAGAAACAGCGCAGCGACTACGCGCGGGAGCTGGAGGAGCTGAGCGAGCGGCTGGAGGAGGCCGGCGGCGTCACCTCCACCCAGATCGAGCTGAACAAGAAGCGGGAGGCCGAGTTCCTGAAGCTGCGCAGGGATCTGGAGGAGGCCACCCTGCAACACGAAGCCACGGTGGCCACGCTGAGGAAGAAGCATGCGGACAGCGCGGCCGAGCTCGGGGAGCAGATAGACAACCTGCAGCGAGTGAAGCAGAAGCTGGAGAAGGAGAAGAGCGAGTTCAAGCTGGAGATCGACGACCTCTCCAGCAGCGTGGAGAGCGTGTCCAAATCCAAGGTGCTTGGGTGGGGCGGGAGGCGCCCAGGTTGTCCCCGGGAGACACCTGTTCAGACCTGCGACCGCCCACTTGTCTCCCCTTCCCAATCCTTCAGGCCAATCTGGAGAAGATATGCCGCACTCTGGAGGATCAGCTAAGCGAGGCCAGGGGCAGGAACGAGGAGGCTCAGCGGAGCCTGAGCGAGCTGACCACGCACAAGTCTCGGCTTCAGACTGAGGCAGGTGAGCCAAACGCAGAAACCCGGAAAGGCCCAAACGCACCTGCACCTAGAAGCGGCAGTGCGCATTTTGGGGGAAGAATTTCTAAAAGCAGGTTTTGAGGAGAGATATAATCGAAATAATCCACAAAAGGCACTATCTGAAAACATTCCTAAGGATGAGAATATTGACTTCAATTTTAAAAAACGAAAGAAAGAAAGAAGCGGATCAGGATGAGGAGGGACTCAAAGCATCACCCCATTCACAGTTCATATAAATTTGTATCAGAAGGAATGGAACTGGCAGAAATAGGACTAGAAGGCAAGACCCATGACTTTTCTATGTTGCTGCACATTGCATTCAGGCATTTTAGGGAATAAAGAGAGAAACAGAGCTAATTTGTATCAGCTAGTGGTGTGTGGTAAAGAAGAGAAGACACCTTCTTTCCAGCTTTCACCTAGAAAATGTGGCTCCACCCATCACTGGCTCCTCATCACAAGTGAATCAGTCTTTGCAGCAACCATAGTGGGAAAAGAAGAAAAGAAGTGTGTTTGCCCCTTCTGCAATAACCTTGGGGATTCCCTTCTGGAGTCATCAATCCTCTCTACCCCCTTTTTCCTTCCGACTTCCCTATACCCATATAAGCCTTGAATTCACCATACTCACCCATGAGTCCACCTTCAAATTACTAGGTAGGTAAAGTCCTGAGTAGTTCCCTTAATGACAAAGCAACAAACAGCAGCTGCTGGGCAGGTCTGCGGGAGTTGTGTGGTCCCCTGGTAACATTTAGGTTTATGTGGGTTTTCTTTGGGTTTCGTTGCTGGGTCAGTCCCAGTTTCTAGTAGTTTACAGCAATGTCTTGCCAGGTTCAGTTTTCTGTTTCCTCTTCATGCGCACATCCCTTTCTCCCTCAAGAAGGAGCAACATTTCATCATGTGATCTCACCTCAGATCTTAGTCCAGGGTGTTACACACGGGAGGAACTTGGTGAGTGAATGAATCAAAGTGTTTCCTTCTGGGCACAGGTGAGCTGAGTCGTCAGCTGGAAGAAAAGGAAAGCATAGTGTCCCAACTATCCAGAAGCAAGCAAGCATTTACCCAGCAAATAGAAGAACTCAAGAGGCAGTTGGAGGAAGAAAGCAAGGTACCTCCTCTGAAGATGAGTCCTTGATGGAATTTTCAAACATTTCCTGCATGTGCAGAAGTGTGTGCACTCCCTCCCCCACACAACACAACTTCATTCAATCAGTGATGACAGCAGGAACATACTTGTGCTGCAAGCATGCCTGATTCATGTAGTACTAAACCCACTAGGGGCTTTTTTGGTATTTTTAACTTCTGCAGGCCAAGAACGCCCTGGCCCACGCCCTTCAGTCCTCCCGCCATGATTGTGACCTGCTGCGGGAGCAATATGAGGAGGAGCAGGAAGGCAAAGCCGAGCTGCAGAGGGCATTGTCCAAGGCCAACAGTGAGGTGGCCCAGTGGAGGACCAAATATGAGACGGACGCCATCCAGCGCACGGAGGAGCTGGAGGAGGCCAAGTAAGCAACTCTATCGGCTTTTAGAAGAACTAGAACCCTTAAGCATGCACATGGAAGGGCACATTGGCTTTAGAACTACTTACGATGAATCTGATGGATTTTGTTTTTGTTACTAGATGTTTCTCCATTGTGTGTGTCTTTAAGTGCATCCCTGTGCCATTATAGGAACCTGGCATTAGCACATCTTATTGACATCAACTTTGAGCTTGGTTACAGACCAGGCAGGTTACTGATCACAGACTTCAAGCAGACAGGGAGTCCTCCCAGGCTTAGTAAGATTAGCAATTCCAGCCTGATGACTAGTAATGTTCAAGAAGATTGAAATGGAAATAGCATCTGCTTCTCTTTCATATTCTTGAAGGAAGAAGCTTGCTCAGCGCCTTCAAGACTCTGAGGAACAAGTTGAGGCAGTGAATGCTAAATGTGCTTCCTTGGAGAAGACCAAGCAGAGGCTGCAAGGAGAGGTGGAGGATCTGATGGTGGATGTGGAAAGAGCGAACTCCTTGGCTGCCGCTCTGGACAAGAAGCAGCGGAACTTTGACAAGGTGTGAGCTCAGCTTCCCACTGACCAAACGCCATGATGTGGGGGATGCTAGTGGTCATGGAGGGAGAATTGGTCACTAGACCTGACTCTGCTCCACTAGCCTGAGCCTCACTGGGATGTGGTTTCCTCATCTTTCAGGCAGAATGGGAATGGGGTGGGGTGTAAGTCCCTTTCAAACACTTGGCAGGGACCAGCCAATTCCTACAATGTTGTTCAGTCCCCAACCTTTTTCCTTCCTCCATACTGCTGGCGTGTCTAGGTGGCTGGCATGTGTGACTCTAACTTAGGTCCCAATGGGAGGCTTATTGGAAGCCCCCTCACTGTGGCAGGCAAACAAGTTTAGTCCAAACCAATATTTTAAGGAAATATTTTGAAATACAGAGATATTTTTCCTGTTGGGAAAAGGGCCTGATTCCTTCTCCAAGGATTCATTTGCTTTTGGAAATGGCAATTGTTACTGACCCATTATCTTTGGTAAATTTATACAATAGAATCTTGGTTAGTCCAATAATTAACAATAAGGAACAAGATAAGAGGCTCTGACTGGTATAGCCCTAACTCTGAGAATGTTCCCCTTAATGGTAATACTTAGTTAAAGCTTGGAGGAGAGCTTATACACAGAAATCCCTGCCACCCTGGTATTTCAGGTGCTAGCCGAGTGGAAGACAAAGTGTGAGGAGAGTCAAGCAGAACTGGAGGCGTCTCTGAAGGAGTCCCGCTCCTTGAGCACTGAGCTCTTCAAACTGAAAAATGCCTACGAGGAAGCCTTAGATCAGCTTGAAACTGTGAAACGGGAAAATAAAAACTTAGAGCGTAAGCTGTTCCAAACACCAAGCAGTCTGAGATGGTCTGAAACCTCCCCCCTTCACCATCCTCTGCCAGTGTATGCTAGGTGGGCTCCCAGAATGTGAAAGATGGTAGCTCCATCATTCAGATCCCTACATGAGTATCTGCTGATGCACGCTCACAAAGTTCACCATCCAACACATTACTTTTGACTCTCCCTATATACAATATCTTATCTCTATGAAACAGGAGTCCTTAGAATTCTAATAAACTAGAGAAAAAGCATGGAGTCTGTGCTTTGCATGCCTGAGGACTTATGCAGAGATGGCCAAATGCAATGCAAACTTATGTCATTGCAGAAGAGATAGCGGATCTCACAGAACAAATTGCTGAAAATGGTAAAACTATCCATGAACTGGAGAAATCAAGAAAGCAGATGGAGCTGGAGAAGGCTGATATTCAGCTGGCTCTGGAGGAAGCAGAGGTGAGGGGGGGACAGCAGCAGGAACAAAGGCAGTAAGGGAGGCCTGGGAGGTAGCTGGCCCCACTCTGCACCTTTGTTTGCTCTTTGTGAAGTCATAGTCCTAATGCCTGTAACTGTGAGGTTCAATGACATAATACCTGAGTTATTTTGAATTTATTCAAGATAACTTATTACGTTAAAATAAGTCTAAAAATGAGATTTTATAAAATCTTAGGTGATTTTAAAAATATCTGTAAAGTGCTTCCTTCTCCTAAGAAATATGATGGTTTTAATGTTATTATTTTGGTGGGACTGGGTTTTGAACTCCAGGCTTCATGCTTGCAAAGCAGGTTCTCTATCACTTGAGCCACAACTCCAGTCCATTTTGCTGCGGTTATTTTGGAGATGGAGTCTCACAAACTATTTCCCAAGATGGCCTCAAATCTCGATCCTCCTGATCTCAGCCTCCCCAGTAGCTAGGATTATAGGCATGAGCCACTGGCACCCAGCTTGTTATTAGTGTTTGATCATATAATAAAAAATAAATAGTGATTTAGCAGATTTTATTCTGGCACTGAAGATAAGTTAGAGCTTGTTTCAAGGTAGTTTTGAATATCAAGAGTTAGATATCACATTGGAGCTTTGTTACCCCAAGGGTCATGTAGCAGGTTCTATTTTGTTTTTGCTTTTTAAAGGCTGCTCTTGAGCATGAAGAAGCCAAGATCCTCCGAATCCAGCTTGAGTTGACCCAAGTGAAGTCAGAAATTGATAGGAAGATCGCTGAGAAGGACGAAGAGATCGAGCAGTTGAAAAGGAACTACCAGAGGACAGTGGAGACCATGCAGAGTGCCCTGGACGCTGAGGTGCGGAGCAGGAACGAAGCCATCCGGATCAAGAAGAAGATGGAGGGAGACCTTAATGAGATAGAGGTCCAGCTGAGCCACGCCAACCGCCAGGCTGCAGAGACCCTCAAGCACCTCCGGAGCGTCCAGGGACAGCTGAAGGTGGAAAGAGCATCCTGCAAGGACCCTCTCCTGTCCTCAAATACCTAGGCAAGGCTCGTGGTCCCGGAGCCTCCACTTCAAATGGTTTTCCATTTAACTCTGGCTAGGACACCCAGCTGCATCTGGACGATGCTCTCCGGGGCCAGGAGGACCTGAAGGAGCAGCTGGCGATCGTGGAGCGCAGAGCCAACCTGCTGCAGGCTGAAGTGGAGGAGCTGCGGGCCACGCTGGAGCAGACGGAGAGGGCCCGGAAACTGGCTGAACAGGAGCTCCTGGATGCCAATGAGAGAGTGCAGCTGCTGCACACCCAGGTGAGGGCCGGGGGAGCCTGGGTCGTGAGGGGGCCACCTCAGACACACCTGCACCTCAGACTGCGTGACAACCCCTCCTCTTCCCCAGAACACCAGCCTCATCCACACCAAGAAGAAGCTGGAGACGGATGTCACGCAGCTCCAGAGCGAGGTGGAAGATGCCAGCCGGGATGCAAGGAATGCTGAAGAGAAGGCCAAGAAGGCTATCACTGATGTAAGGCTCTTCTTCCCCTGGGTGGCTACCAGGGTTGTGCTTCATTTTTGCCTCCTCTTCTCCCCCCAGCCCCCAGACACTCCCATGACACAGGACACGCACAGTGCACACGCTGCTCCGAGACCACTCCACTTCCTCTCAAACTCACCCGCTCCCTCCTGCACATTTTTGAAAAGAGGGAAGCAGAGGGGAAGAAAAGACAGGAAGGGATTGTGTCCCGTTTGTTCTGCTGTGAAGAGGGGTGCCCTTCTGTCCTTCAGCATCTGGGTTCTTCTAGAAACGACGCTCTCGGATATCAAGGTCCCATCATCTCTCCTCCCACAAACACCTAAATCTTCTTGGGTCTCCCGCGCCTTCTTCCTGGTTCCGCAACGCCAATGGCGCCACCTGCTGTCCGATTGGCGAACATCACCTCCAAGCTATTTTGCTTTTCTGCACTTGCATGCAGCAACCTTAATTCTCAGGAGGCCTGCCGCTTAACTCCCTTGTCTCCAAACCTGTGGTGCTGGGTGTCAAATCAGTCTTCATCAAGTCTCAGGATCCTCTCAACATATATGTAGGTGATAATGAAAGAAAGAGTCCGTGGGATAGAGAAGGTCCCAAGGAGGCCACTTTCCAGGAGGGAAGATACACTTCTCTCCCCGTCCCTGTGGGATGCATTTCTTTGATTGTTTTGTATCCTGGGTGTAGCTCTTATCCTATTCCAGAGTGAAAATGTGCTCACTCATTATTTACCTATTGTCCTTTCTCTCTAGCCTGCTCTCTGGTCCTCTGGGACACTCACATTTTGACAGCTCCAAGGCCACTGAGCTTTGTGGGTGTGACTTGCTTTTCAGGCGGCCATGATGGCTGAGGAGCTGAAGAAGGAGCAGGACACCAGCGCCCACCTGGAGCGGATGAAGAAGAACCTTGAGCAGACGGTGAAGGACCTGCAGCACCGTCTGGATGAGGCTGAGCAGCTGGCGCTGAAGGGCGGCAAGAAGCAGATCCAGAAACTGGAGACTCGGGTATTGGCAGCAGGAGCCCTGGCCAGCTGGAGCTTCCCAGCCTCTTGGGTTCATGCCAAGGTCCATACCTTGGCTAATTTCCCAACTAATCTCCCCAGATCCGAGAGCTGGAGTTTGAGCTGGAAGGGGAGCAGAAGAAGAACACAGAGTCTGTGAAGGGCCTGAGGAAGTATGAGCGACGGGTCAAGGAGCTCACGTACCAGGTAGGTGGAAAGAAGACCTGCTGCGCATTTTCTCTGTAAGCTGTAGGTGCCACCCTGGAGGCTCCATAGGAACCTAGGAAGAAACACTTGAGATCAGAAAAAAGTCCAGACCTCCTGCAACTCTGCCCCGTTTTCCAGTGACATTCCATTTTCTCATTCTTAGAGTGAAGAGGACAGGAAGAATGTGCTGAGATTGCAGGACCTTGTGGATAAACTTCAAGTGAAAGTGAAGTCCTATAAGAGGCAGGCTGAGGAGGCTGTAAGTCTGACACATGTGTGGCTTTGGAATCGTGGCCTGATCCATTTCCCACTGGATGCTCTGAGAGAGAAGCACCTGATCTTAACCACTGGACTCTTTGGTTTTAGGATGAGCAAGCCAATGTTCATCTCACCAAATTCCGAAAAGCTCAGCATGAGCTGGAGGAGGCTGAGGAACGAGCTGATATTGCAGAATCGCAAGTTAATAAGCTGAGGGCTAAAACCCGAGACTTCACCTCCACCAGAGTAAGTTGTTTATCTGGAAAGAGCCCACGGGGACTGCAGAAACTTTTAAGCTGGAAGGAGCCATAGGGAACCCTCTCCTTTACAGCTGGGGAATCTTGGACTCAGGAAGAGAAGGGATTTGCTTAAAGGCACTTCACCTAGTAGAATTCCACCAGAAGCCAGGTCTGTAGGTCACACTACAATACAAAACCACCATTCTGAAAAGGGATGAGCAGGGTCTCACTGAGCTCTCAAGCACTCCATGCTGGTAGATCAGAGAAGCATCCTTCACAGCCTGCAAAGTGGTGGGCAGTCACTATCCACATAGGGTTGCTGTCCAGCAGATGGGGCTTGCTCTTTCTGACAGCCAGTTTCTCAGGCTATGGAGTGACTTCATGTATGCAATCATGCATCCTCACAAGGCCCCCAAATAACGTGCGTCCTATTGAAATATACAACTCCTTGATACTTGCTAGAAGAGGGAGTGGAGAAAATGTGTCTACCACTTGACTTGACTAAAAGTACCCACCTTCTTTCCAGATCGTGGTCCATGAGAGTGAAGAGTGAGCGAGCCCTCCTGGAGCAGGACAGAAGATATGCAAAATGTATATTTTCATGGTTCCTGACCTAATTTACTTAATTTCCATGTGACTCCTTTTCACATGCAATAAACTTTGCCTTGTTTTCAAGTAGGGGTTGTTTCATTGTATTTTTCCCTTTTTTTCTCATGTGGAAATGATTTCTCCTTTGGTGATTTTTCTGCCTAATGTTGAAATCTCAGTAAGCAGATGGCTTGGTAAATTCAACTGACTTGAGTGGATAGGAGGGAGAAATTGTTTTTGGTTTAAACTTGAAATTAGATCAAAAAGAAAATAATACTTTTAGGTTAACCATTGCTTTGGTGGGGGATGGGAGAGGGAGTTTTTCAGGAGTCATTTCTTAACATGATATGAGGGAAACACACAGGTTAGGGTTAGGAAACCTTGTCTCGAGTAGGATAGGGTTAAAACCAAGGGAGCAGATTCTCTTCCTCTGCATTTGATCAGGGAAATCGATCTGAAATCTAGTATCTGTGGGGCAGCTGCTGCACGCACCATGCTAATAGGAATACAGAAATGAAAAAATAATGTCTGATGTTTTCAGGAACCCAGGGGCAAGGGATGTAGCTAAGTAGAGTGCTTGCCTAGCATGTGTGAGCTTTTGGGTTTCATCCCAGCACTGCCAAAAAAAAAATTTAGAAATTAAGAAAAGAAAAAAAAAAAGAGCTCAGTCTAAAGCTACCATTGAGACTTGTTAACCTGGTGCAATCTGTACTATTTCAGAGCCCCACAACCAAAAAACCCCACCCATTACCCAGGCAAACCCAACCTTACCTGAAAAGGAAAATATAGCAGAAATTCAGAATAACTTACTGACCAGCTACTAGAAATAGCATCTTCTAACCTGGGATCATTTGTTTACTGTCCTAATTAAACTCACTGGAATAGTTGCTAAGTCACCCTCTTTAGCTGGATCTGGAAAATTCAGAGATGAGCTAGTTTGAGTTGGGTGAGAAATAAAATTCACAAGGATTTCCCTTCAGTGCTCAACACCAAGTATTGCATTTTCTGGGATCTGTACTATGTCAAGAAGGAGGCCTTGATCCATGTCAGATTTGGCTTATCAGTGACTTAAAATCATTTTGTTTCAAAGATCACATCTCTTTGATTGCTTTCAATAGTTCATGGCAACACTGTAATTAAAAATGGCATGTCCTGCTGGGGTGGCTGCTGCTGAAAGGAAACAACTGCACTGAGAGCAAGTTTGATCCACACCCAGACCTGAGGCCTAGCCCACTGGGCCACAGTCCTTCAGATCCTCTTGGAACTTATGAGGACAGCTATAGATTGCCTTCCATGGAAAGCAGGCAATAGAGAAAATAGATGAGAAGTTTCTCTTCCACAGTATTCCTACTCGTTAAGTAAAGAAGAAACGAAAGATTAGAATATCAGCATTTTGATAGAAATTCTTAATAAAGTATGGCTACTAGAATCACAAAAGGATAGGTAGTCAAACATTTTAAGCCACCTGATAGAAGTGCACAGTGTCACCTACAAAGAATTCCTGCCCAACAGTCTGCGTTGGGTCTGGGCAGACCTCTAGATACAACAATTTACCAATTTGTAGGCAACACAGGAAACACAAAGATAAGATACAATCAATAAAATCCAGGATGTGGGGAACTCAACTGAACAAATCTAGCTCTTTCAATAAATAAATTGAAAGAAAAAATATACATGAAATGGTAAGGGAACCTATAGATTAAAGGAGATTTAACCACCAATTGCAGTTTATGGACTTGTTAGGGTCCTGATTTGTACAAACAAGTGTTTAAAACAGATATGCACATATGCTCTAACTTGTGAAATTTCAATACTGACTGGATATTTGATGGTGATAGAGATTCTTGTTCACTTTATTATATTGCAATTATGTTTTCTGGAACAGTCCTTTCTTAAAAATACTGAAATATTTACAGATAAGAAAGGAAGAGCAAGTGAGCAAGCTATCTTTGAAGTAAACTTGTTTTACAGAATTTAAGACTTAAAGAACTAATAAAAGAGCCTCCTGGTGTACTTTATGCAGAATGAGGCTTCCCAACTTGAAAATCTCTGAAGCTGTGGGATCTGACGTGTCCACTTATCAGCAAAATGTGAGATTTCACACCAAAGGAGACAAAATGGAGTTTAGTTCTGGATAAAGAGTTACTATTGTGATGAACACTGCCAATGTTTCCTTATTCCATAAAACAAAGGATGCCCACAATTACAGAACACATAGCCCTGATATGGAGGAGAAAAAAATGAAAGTAGGAGTCTCCTTCCAAATAAGGAGCTGTGTGCCACACAAGGCATAGAGGGAAAGTCTTGTCTGGCAAAGGAAGAAGGAAGGTGGAATCAGCCACTATTTATTGCACTCTTACTGTGTGCACTCAGTGTGCTCCATCTGATGTCACTATATAAAGATTTGACGATGATAAAATGGGCCTTATTACACTTGCTTATTACAGATGAAGAAGAAATTGAAACACAGAGTAACTTGCTCAAGGACAAAATGGTAGAGCTGGGATTCTCTTTGGATTCCAAGACTGCTTTCCCCACAAAGCATTGATAATCTACCTGGGCAGCTGGCCAAACAACTTGAGAAATAATCTAAAGGAGGGTGAGCATGGGGCAAAGGTGTACAGAAATTGAATTGATAAAACTCAAAGTGTCCTTTTTTCTTTTTGATTACCTGACCTTTTCTGTTAGCCTCCTCCAGGCATCCCACTATAACCCTTCTCTTGCCCAGCAATTCCATCCACCCCATCCTTAAGGTCTCCTCTCAGATGGGCCGTTTGATCAGTCTGTAGGAATGTGGTGACCTTTGGCTCATTGGTGATGTCCCCTGGTTCTTTTGCATATGAGCTCCAAAATACATGGCAGAATACAGTGAAGGACTCTCCTGCTCACTTCTTTGGGTGGGATTCCACTGGTTCAATTTTAAGGGCCATTTCTAATTACTTTTCCTTTCTTAAATAGCCTCATTTTTCTCTTTTATTATTTTTTCTGGTGTTGGAGCATAGAATTGATTTATTTTCTCCCTGTAATCTTCATGCAATCCAGAAACCTCTGGCTTACTGAATTCTTTATTAAGTCTCAAATCTTCCAATAGTAGATTTCTATTTTTAATACCTTTTATAATTTTTTTTATTATACAAGAAATACACATTCAAGAACAGCATTTTTAAAAAAGACCTGTCAACTATAAAAAACATGCCAGCTAGGATGGAAGACTCCTTCTTTGTCTGGAACAGATGAGATCTTGATTTATGATTGGCAGATGGTCCCCTTATTAAGGACATGAGGGACACAGTTTCTAATACAAGTAACATGTCCTTATGGGGGGAAATGGGTTGCAGTTTGCAGCCACCACCAGCTGGTGAGGGAGCCTTTCATTTCTCCACGCCTGGGTCATTGTGACAGCTGAAAGTTTTAATAAGGCAAGTATGCCTCAGACTGTGGAGCGAGTAAGCTGCCCAGAACACAGAGGTTTATTTGCACCCATCCCAATAATCCCACTGCTAAAAAACAGCTGAGGCTGAGAGGCTCCTGGGCTACTTTCAGATGGGAGCAGTGATCTGGTTCCCCTCAGCTATGCTGAGACATTCCAGAGACTCTCATGCCCCTGCATGCAGGCCATCAGGAGCCAGGGGCCCAGAATGGCACTGACTATTTTTATCCAAGATGTAGCATTTTTTTCCATGACAGTGAGAAGCATGACTCCTGGGCACTTATGGGTCTACTGTGTGTTCTATCAAATGAGACATGACCCTCCTTCAGGAGCTCTGAGGAGGTTTAAGAGAACAGGTGACAGACCCTTCCTTGCCCTAAGTCATCTTCCCAAAGAACCCTGGCATCAGCTTGCTGGAAGAAGGAACAAGTGTGATTAAGAAAATGGAGAATTGCCATCTCAGAGAATTCTCCAGGGACCCAGGGTGACAAAGACAAGTAAGACAGAAACTCAGACTTCAAGGACAGTAAAGGGACTATAAGTACCCAAATAAGGAAGAAAAAAAAGAAAAGCAAGACAAAACCCATAGAGTTAGTGAGTAATTGAGGAAGGTGAGAGAGTCACAGGTTTTTATAGTCAAAGACCAAAGGAAAGTCTGCAGTGTTAGCAATGAGCACAGAGCTCAGTACACAGCAGGTGCTCAATACATACATCAAATTGAATTCCAGTAGGAAAAGGAAAGTAGTGAGAATCTGTTGCCCTTGGGGAAAACAAGTTCTCTCTATGCCAACTCTCTGCCTCCACACTCAGTAATGGCTCTTTACAAATTAAACATGAGCATGATTTTCTCGGTTTTCTGAAACAAAGGGTTTAAGCATGGCTGTTTGCCATGAGCAGGGATCAAGTATTTGAGAGGAGGCCCTGGGGGGTGAAGTGCACTGAGAAAACAGGAGACCTTCAGTACCTGAGCCCTGGGCCAGAGCCTCTCCAACCCCCAAAAGTTCTGCTGCTGGAAGTTTAGCTCTATGTTCCTTACACATGTGACCATACACCCTTTTCTTTCTTTCTTTTTTTTTTTTAAACCAACTACCTGCTGTATGCTAAGAATCAGGGAATGGAAGAAGCAGAAGTCTTCCCAAAAAGTGACAGCAGGAAAGGAGGGAGAGAAGAGAGTACAAGGTCTTAACCCCCCAAGGCTCAGAGTGGGAAGGGCACGAGGTTGGGAGGAGGGACACACATTTCCAAATATGGTCCAGCCCTGGTCCTATTTTGGGCCTGGGGTCTCCGTGCCAAAGGCAACAGGTGTCAAGACCTAAAGAGCAGACCATTAGCATGTGTGTGTTTATTTTGAGGGCGTCCTGGCATCATTCCCAGAGGTAAAAGTCAGCCTTTCAATGAATTGTCTTCAGCTAGAAATATAAAATGTCCTCCTTTTCTGTTTCCCCGGGGGCCTCCTCACACGGGCGTGCTTGGATGGCTTGCAGGTTTCCGGGAAGAAGGGAGGTTTGGGCAGTGTTCCCCTCTCAGGACTAATGATGAGCAGTGAAGTGCGAGTTCTCCCTCACAATCACATGCTGCTCCACAAAGCCCCCAGAGGAGAGCCAAGTTGGGGGATAGAGATAAATTGGCCCCCTTTGCCAC